CGGCCGGCGAAGAAAATGGATGATTGCTCGCGGGCCTATCTTATAGGCCAGAGAGATGGGCCGTTTGGCATACTGAAATGAGTAGCTCCGTGTGTGCGTCCGTGTACGTGTGTGTTCTTCCACTTTCTTCGCCGACCGCTGCGAGCCGCGGTGTCCCGCCTGTCGTGTCGCGCGTTCTAATTTGTCTAACTATTTTAATTAATATCTTGAAATTTTACGTGGTTGTTCGAAAAATGACCTATACAATTTTTGTTCACTTTTATGTGTTCTACTTATATTTTTCTTTTGGTCCGTCTTACGCGGGACACCTTGTATAATAAACTCGATATAAAGCTATTTCTTAACTTATCCTGATTTGATCCATATAAAACTCGATATAAAGCTATTTCTTAACTTATCCTGATCCTTATCCATTTCTTACTATTGCTTTGCAAAATTTTTTATATGTGACAATATCCACTTTATCACGCATTTAATTGATACAATAAGTCTTCTTGATCAGTCTTATACCAGCTTAATATACCGTTATTTATATACATCGTCGATATTAAGATTATCTAATGGAAAATTACTATTTAATACGCGTATCAAGTGTACGATGTAAACCAAGCCATTAGTTGCGTAGTCTTTTTGACAGATGTGCACGCGTGTAAATAATAAATATTGTACAAGTGTAATATATCAAAATGTAAAAGTTAGTTCAAACGACACTAAAACTTACTAATACAGCCAAAAATTGGATTTGGCGTAACGAAAATAGCGTAAAGAGCACAAAATAACTAGGCGAAACTAGTACTTAAATGAGATGATGTGATTAGTTGGCGCAAGTTACGCTTACGCAAGTTACGCCGCATGGGGAGGCATCCTTACACACAGATGGCACTGGTTCGCGCTCTCGCCACACGTAATCTTCGCAACTCAGGATTTGCCTACGACTCCTGTAGATCCTTAATTAAATACTACAATATGTGTGTATTTTTACATTTACATTTTGATATATTACACTTGTACAATATTTATTATTTACACGCGTGCACATCTGTCAAAAAGACTACGCAACTAATGGCTTGGTACTAATGGCTTTACATCGTACACGTGATACGCGTATTAAATAGTAATTTTCCATTAGATAATCTTAATATCGACGATGTATATAAATAACGGTATATTAAGCTGGTATAAGACTGATCAAGAGAAGACTTATTGTATCAATTAAATGCGTCATTGTTGATATGCATTGTCAATATTAAGATTATTTAATAGTAAGTTACTATATAGTATGCGTATCAAGTGCACGATGTAAACCAAGCCAATAGCGTGTTCAACTGGCCCTTTGTATTAATCGCTCCGAGAGCGATTAATGACGTCATAAGTCTCTACTAGCCAATTATAAAGCATATAAGTACTTGTGCGGCCAATAAACGTAGGCTGAATAACCCAGAGTGGGTTAACCCAGAGCCAGTCGAACATGCTATAACAAACTTACTACTTAAACAGTGCTACTAATCCATATAAATTAAAATTATATTATGTAGAGATTTTTCTTCGTACCATTATCCCCTCCACTTTTCGGGAAACTGTCGCCTAACCGAAATCGGCCCGAGATCTAGATCCGAGAAAAAAGCAACCAATCCATTTACAGTTTTTACGAAAAGGCGACAATTTTATTAGTTAAGATGTGGGTCCAATGGTCCGTGAACATATCCGTATCCTTAACCGTAAACAAAATCGAGTCGTGATTGGTCGTGATATATATCACGACCAATCACGACTCGATTTTGTTTAGGCCGGTTCTACAATACATCGTATGTCGGAGTCGGATATCAGAACGTAGTCGATGGTCCAATAAGTCCTGATCCACAATAGATATAGTAAGCTTTGAGTCTTAAGGAATTGACCAATCATAGTCAAATTTGTAGAGAATAGTCGACTGTGATTGGTCAATTTCTTAAGGCTTCAAGCTTACTACATCTATTGTGACTTGGTTCTAAGGAGAGCTTGTCTCGAAAAACAAATCCTCTGATTGGCCCATCGACTGTGTTCCGATGTCCAACAACGACATACGACGCATTGTAGAACCGGCCTACACGTTCCTCGGATCGAGATCTCGGACCGTGCAGCATCGTGGACACAAGGGGTGTATATCAGTTGGACACAGTCCAATCACAAGTCGCTGTTCCAAGGGACCCTACAAATGTCTCTAATCACACGGTGCTGTGATTGGCTGTGTCCAAATGCACCGTGTCCAAGTGCACCGCTCCCGACACAAGCCCTAAAGCCTGTCGCATATAAAATAATATAACTACATGTACACTCGTGGTCTAAAAGTTTGTGCACCGATTTTTTGTGGATTTCAGAACGCGTCCCAACTTCAGGAGAGAGACAACCACTGCTTGACACTCCAGCGCCGCCATTTATTACGTCCCTTTAAGGGACGTCTACATTGGAAGTAAGCAGTAAGAAATAGGAAGTAAGAATAAGAAATTGATCAATCATAGTTGATTATTTTTCTCAAATTCGATTGTGGTTGGTCAATTTCTTACTCTTACTTCCTACTTCTTGCTATTTACTTCCAATGTAGACGTTCCTTTAGAGTCGGGTGCCGGGATTGGAAGTCCAAAGATAGTCCTCACCTCCAAATCTCATTTCTCTAATTCACTAATTCTAAACCTTAGTTTCCTCTAATTCTTGAGCAATTAACTTTAGGTTATCTTTAACATTCTTAAACAATTACGAGCATTTTATTCTAATGCATAATTCTTTAGTTTGTTAAACAGTTCATTTTAGTTATTTCGTCACTTCCATTACTCTAGCCATACTTAAGATATCTTTGTGAGCATATTATATATCAAGAATTATACAATACACATTATATATATATATATATATATATATATATATATATATATATATATATATATTAAGGGTCATCGAAAAGTATCGGACCTTCCTAATATCTTCAGTTAGAATACATTTTGAAGAAAATATCCAATAGTAAAGTTGTATGGTTTCAAGCGGGGAGTAAGATGATGACCTTGACTTTGACCTTGACCATGTCCTTCAAGGTCATTTTAAGGTCAACCTTATTTTTTTAAATGGAACTCCCTACATTTTATTGCACATTCTTATAGCTTATCTCGAGAGCTTTCCAAAACGCTAGAATAAAACATTTTTTCATTAAGTACTTTTTGAGTTATAAAGGTTTGAAGTTAACAAT